TGAATTTCGCTCTTCGAAGAGCTTCTACCGCATGCTCTTCGTGCTAAATGTTAGCAACAATCAATTTCTCAAGATTTTTGTGATATTACTGGGCTAAAGAAATAACACATAATACGACAACATTGCGGTCTCAGAAAGCATTTCTAAGAACAATCTGTATTTAAGAAAAGTAAGCCATTGGGTTTCATTGTTAAGCAGAACGTCACAGAGGTGCCATTTATCTTTCAATTCAGTGCAAGACTCTCATCCGGGATTTCATATAAAATCACACTCGAGTAATTCAAGACACATGCTGTAATGAAAATGCAGACTCATTCACTGCTTCCATTATAACGTCGAGCAATGTCTTTCCTTATTTAAATTCCAGTCAACAAAACGAACCTGTTCCTTGATTCGAACCGATATCAAGATGTCACCAATATCAACTCGTGCAACTAAACCTTGAGGTTTACCAAAAGCTCCTCGCATTCCAGTTTGCAAGCGATCAGCACCCGCACACGATAACATTTTATTGATGCGTACAACATGGTATGGGTGCTTGCGCACACGCATATGGAAACCGTCTTTGCCACAGTTCTTCACCATATATTTGTTGGCACAAATACGAGCTGCCTGAAAATAAAAACGTTTGCAAATCTGAATTAGGCATCTTGCCGTATCAAGCCAGACTCTTTTTACAACAATGCTACCTAAAGCGCTTCCGCAAGATGAGTTATTGAGATTCAAATTCCTCTACTTTCAAATGAAATATGGCATGAATGGTACTGACCCATAACAATCGCAAACTGTCCTAATTTTGCTGCCTTCTCCAAACTCGTACGCAATTTGTGCGTTGTAATTAAATTATAAAAGAGCAAAAAACTTCGATTGACGAGACTAAAGAGATCAGAATTCCTTGGAATAATACAAGGACTCAATCTTGACAATTTCCTAAACGACTTCCAAGAAAGAGTTCAAGTTTAAAAGATGCACCTCAAGCGCTTCTGACGAGAGATGCTCCCGTTCATTGGACATTAAATGCACACATGATGGGAATTCATCCACTGTAGCTTTCTTTTTGCCCAAATCAAAGATACGAATTTTCGGATCTGGAACACCACGACAGAATCGAGACTTGGGATATGGCTTGTTTTTGATGTAACGATAGCATCTTGCTGGTCGTCGTCCCATTTCTAAAAAAACTTCAAATTTAACTAACGACTTGATGAGAAACACGGCGCAACAAGTCCTGCCTACTAACTTCCTACTAATTGCAAGCTGAATTATGCATTTCTGCTGATATAATTATGATAAATTGCGATAATTACCATATCTACATAGCATTCAGCACGACGCAACAAGTCATACCTAATAACTTCCCATTAATCGCAAGCTGACGAACTATGCATTTCTGTTGATAAAACTATGATAAACTGCAATAATCATCATACCTACATACCCCTCAGAACCTTATAAAACCCGCATCACCGCGACACCAATCTGATTCCGCCTAAAATTGTCGATCGAAGGGGTTGTGAAAGAAACGGCATTTCAAATCTCAATCATCCAAGTAGGACCGGGACAACCTATTGCAGCATTCTGTCATCTTTGATATCCTGTCTCCACTGAGACGTACTCCCGAGGGTTGTTGACGTGATTCATTGATAGGCTAGCAAATATTCACTTTTAAATTCACTGGTTTGAGTTAAATTTGACTTCAGAAATGTTTTGGAAATGAGTGAGTGGCATTTTATAGTTAGAAGAGAAAGGAGAAGGCATAATTTGCATATTCCAAGGCACAAAGATTTCGGAAGCAACATTTAAGTTAATGCAAAATGCGCAAGAATTGTCCATATGAACCTGTAGATATTGCATTGAATGCTAATTGCTGATTTAATTCGTAGATGAATGATTTAAGTGTTGGAATAAGTTCATCTTGTAGTCGGTGACTGAATCGTTCATTGCTTTCATAGGCCTTCATAGGCAAATATAGTTGGTGATGGAAGAGACCTGACTTATAGTGTTAATGAAAAAAGGCAGAAATAATCTTCAAAACAATTAAATAGTTAGACCTATCACTGTTCTATTTCTTTTGTTTAGATAAACATTTTACTGCTGTTATTTTTTATTTTTTATGTGTTCATTCCTGTGTTCAAATGATTTTACTAGGTTGTCTGAATTGTTGACAAATGATAAAATGCATTAATTGAGGATTGGCTTAGCTGGGTGACAATTGTTATCGATAAAACGTTGTGAGCAAATTGATGTCGATGAAACGTTGTGAGCAGAGATATCCTATGTGTGCTATGCTCACAAATATTTAATATGCAGCGATTGTGACTTTCGAAATGTTTTAGAATAATAAGAGAGGTACCGAACTATCCAGAGAGTTTGCATTCGAATTTCACTCTTTTTGGTAATGAAAAGACTTGTCAGTCCTGTTCAGCGCTGCAAATTTATGAAGAAATTTTAAATAGAAGTTATGGTAAAAATTTTAGATGTTTCAGAATTATCAATCTCTGGTGTTGAACATTTGCATTTATTTACAACGGTGAAGTTTGAATCATCTTTTCGCAAACAAGACAATGAAGGCTCGTGAACTTACAGGCTATCATTAGATCTCATTCTGTTTGGTATTTAAGAAGAGTACTACAAAAAGTTTTACCATCCTGTGACAATTAAACGATAACTGAAGTAAAGATCAAGTTGTACAAGTATAAGAAATTACCAAGATATGAAAATGTCATACTTTTTGAAAGAATTCTTTGACATGAAAAACTATCACTTTCTTGACTTTAATTTTTTTGTAACTTTATACAAAAACTATTTTCAATCAAATGAAACAATTTTAGCGATGAACACTATCATCCATTCACCCGAATTAAGACCATAAACTAATTCAGCCAGTTCATATTGTGTTGATTCTATTGTTCAAATTACGTAAATAAAAGTTTTAGATATTGAAAGATAACAAAAAGAATTCCAAATTTGTTGATATAAAATTCGAAATTTATTGATATTGGCTCTGACAAACATATCAGGATCTCAATTGAGGACGAATATATTCATTCTTGTGATAAGCAATTACAAACACGAACTACTCGAGAGTAGGATTAAAACATTGTAATTGGAGGTCATTATATTGCTGAATTCATTACGACAGTAGAAGGATTTTCACTTCCCGTAGCCATTGCGAAATAAGTTGTTAAGTTTTGTTTTAGGAGTGATACTACGACAGCTGAATACTGCATCGAGAAACTTTTGAATGGTTTTTGAATTTCTTTATCGCATGTAAAGTAGTATAGTCCTGCGACAAGTACCATTTTGAAATGGTAAAGGGACGAACATCAACAAGTTGCTTGTAAAGGATTAAGTTCGGCGAATTTTTTAAATCAGAATTTTTTACTTTTCTTAATGTGCTGAAATGGCTAACCAAACAATCAGACGTTGGAGTGAAATCTTATTCTTTGGTTAATTTCTTTATATAACATATTCAGACCTTCCATATCCTGTGTTTATGATTGCAAATTGTTGAACTTTTGTAACCCAAATTTTACCCAAAAGGTTTTCTGCGTGAGCTGAAGATACTTTTGAAAACACATTATGTGTCGATTTATGATCTTGCGTTCGTCACTCAGTAAGATCCCATGGAAGAAAAGCGAAGGGATGATTGAACAAGCATTTTTTTCTGATCCTTATGATTTAAAATGATGTTGTTTAATTAATACCGCTGCCAGTGTATGTATGTATGTTGTTATGAGTGCAAGAAAGTAACTGAATTGAGCTAACTTTAAAAACAAACAAAATACCACACAAATATACTACGGGAATAACAAACAACCAGACAAAGATTACGGCATATATTTTTACAGGAATCGCGTTGATGTAAAATCCTCGAGCAACGTGTTAGGAAACCTACCAAAGTAACCGTAACGCGTATGCTGAGAAGTAAAATTTTCGCGGACATGGAAATTGGATTTATAAAATAATGGAATGCACCACATATAAATAATGGTCAGTTAGGAAAAAATTAAGTTAAAGGCATTTAATTCTTTCGAAATTAAGATCCCTTAACCACGCGAAATATGTGAGATAATACGAGTTTAGCGAGTATGAGATGACGGAAATACCACGAACGCAAGGCTATTGCGAAAGAAAGAAGTAAACGCAGAAACAGAAAGGCCAAAACATAATGTGCACAACATCCAACTGCAGTTTTAAGAACTGTATAAGAATCTGCTCAAGTGATATAGATAAAAAAGCAGTTCACAATAATCATAAAAAACAATAATTTCTGGAAAAATAACGAAGAGTGTGATTAGTGTAGAACAGGAAGGATACTCCTGTGCTTGTAAAATGAACGATAAAAAAAATTCACTACAGCCTGCCTGATAAAAAAACTTTCAGCAAAAAATATGGTTTCGCTTGAAAAGAAACACAACAAATAAATATCTTGCGCAGTCACATCATTCGAAAAAAATAATTCGATTTGTAAAATCCGTACTTCAATAAATATCCTACTATTCAAATAGAAAATTTTGACCTGAAAGATTAGTGCTGCTACGATACTTCTTCAAGAAGCAATTCCGTACTAACGAATGAAATAGCAATCAAAATGAATCCTCAGCGCAGGAATTTATATTATACATTCTGTAAAAGATTTTAATAATTGAAACAATAAATACTTGCGAGATTCATTTTTTCAAATTCAGACAAAAGTTATTACATATATTCGTTTGGTATATGTACCGTTGTCAATATATATACCAACAAGTTTCACTAAATGAGCTTCGTTCCAGTTTTAGTGGCATAATTCCCTACTCAATTTTCACCGATAATATTCCCTACTGCAGAATTAATAAAATCTTGAAATACAACAATTTTATGTGCTGCAAGAAATTATTTGAATAGTTTTAAAACTTAGAATACAAAATACGAGTTCATCTAGACATCAAAGATGATAAATCCTCTTAGTTTTTGAGGAAAATCATCCTTGATGTTAAACAACAAAAACGCTAACGCTATGCTATTCTAGGTGTGCCAGAAGAATTACCACCAATTGTAATGATGGAAGCAATAACAGGAGTAGAATGTAGCGATGAGGAAGGCGGTTCATCAGCATTTTCTTCAGTGATTGCGGTGGCTAAAGACGAGTCAGCCATGATGTCGCGCATTATTTGCAAATGTCGTTGGACGTTACGTATTGCAGACGAGAAAGTTGGCACTACCTGGTCTTCACTTTCGCTGTTCATCTTCAGAAAACAATAAAAAACTTATTAATATTACCATTATTGAGAATTTTTGATTACCAACAAACTTGATTGCAAAAAGAATCAAGAAACAGTATATATAAATGTAAACATGAATAACTTAGTTTTTTGAAGCTAATTCAAAAACATAGTCCGAGGGTAATTAGGGAAAGTTGATTGAGAAGCTAAAAATCACCTTCATGATTCGTCGTGCAAATTCAAAAGCAGGATTGCTGGTCACGCCGAGAAGTGTAACACGAGATGGTATTTCCAGCCAACCTTAAACAATATCAAAACAAAATTTTGCAGCATATACCACCGAATATGCAAGCTGCACATTAATAGCCTTAATGACTTAAATACCTGGTAAAATAGAACGAAATGATATAATATTTGAGTCGTCCAAACACTGTTCATCCAATGGTACATAGAGGAGCTGTTCAGCGGTGGGACGTTCTGACGGTTCTTTTCGCAACATGCCAAAAATTAGAGCACGTGCTATAAAAAATAATTCTTGGCTGTTTAAAGTCGAACTGATACACACAAACAACAAGTATAAATTCTCCTAAGTGGTAACAGTTTACTATAAATATGAATTTTATCAAGATTAACACTACTAATGGGTTTCGGAAAACATCCACCCTATGAAGCAATAAGTATACCTGTTTGCGACACCGGAATCTGTGATGGGATACTAAATTTTGCCTTCAGAATTCGGTAAAACAATCTCTGGGGTGTTGCATCATTGAAGGGATAACTGAAAAAATTTCTGATGAGTTAAAACCATATTAGTCTTCTTCCTGCTTTATTTAATCTCCAGATTCTGTTCTCCTTGATATTAGAATAGAGGTAAAAGTTGGATTTCCTAGTTCAAATTATTTCGGACACAAACCTTCCAAATAATAGAACATAGAACAGGACTCCTAGTGCCCAAATATCAGCTGGACGACCAGCATATTCAGGAGAATCCTTCAATATTTCAGGAGCAACATATGCAGGACAACTATGTCTATCACGTAACCGATCATCTTTGATGTCTTCGCAAACAAAAACATCAAATATATCTCGTAATCTCATCTGCGTCCTGAAATTATATTAATTAATTCCATTAGAATATGGAATACAAAAGATTAACTAAAGAAAAAAATTTTAATCCTCGAGAAGACAAAAAACTTGCATCTGCTTATCTGTGAAGACGAACTTCCGCAGTTTGACATCACGTACAACAATTCCACAGGCATGACAAAAAGCAATTCCTCTGACAATTTTTGAAAACAGTGAAAACGCTTCGCTTTCGGAAAGCTTAACTTTCCCCGCCTGAACCTTACTATGCAGAGTACCATACTGCCAGTTGGAAAACATAAAACGCTGACCATTATTATCAGTGCATACTTCCGTTCCTGAGGGAAGAACAAATTCTCTGAAAAGAAAAGAAGTATTAATAATCCGGCATAAATGATACAAAATTCAAACAATTTCTCTAAAAAAAGATTGAAATAGAAAGCCTAGAATTTTCCCACCCAGCCTTCACACAGTTTGCTCCTCCACTCCGGACAAATTTTATCCCCTTCTGTCTAATTATATTAAGTAGAAAACCTCATCTCTTCCAAATCTTCATATTTCCAATAATTTTTTGCTACGTTCAGACGACTTGCAATTGATAACAGTTTCATATATTGCTCATTGTCGATAGGCTGGAAAATATTTATGGAAAAGTTGCAAAAACTTAACTTATTTTTCGACATCATGTGTTTGAAGTTAAACCCTGAACATATGCTGAAACTGAAGTATTCAAAGGTACTCCCTATCTTTAACTGAATACTAAAATTATGTCTATAAAAACATATTTTATCATGTTTGCTGACCTGACAAGTTTTTACAATCTTTTTCTCGATGTGATACGCTACAAATTCCTTCCCAGCACCAACTAGCTGATAGCCACAAACCACAGTATTATTTACTTCTGTCCATGTCCGATCCTTCTAAAATAAAGTGACATAAAAACTCAAATATTAATGAAAAAAATGATAGCCTGTAGGCTTAGCGTAGACAACAGTGAATGTCATCTATCAACCTTTGTCGAATCCTTAGCGTGACAAAGTGGACTTTTCGATTGACTGTCACTCAGTTCTGATAAAGTTAAATCGCCAGATGCTGATCCAACATCTCGTGAACGCTTTTTCGCATTACTTTCACAATCCTCTGAAAGAATTCTAAAGCTTAGCATCGAACTTTGCTTTATGATTTCGTTCAACAAACCACGACAAATGAAACCGAAGTGAACGAAATAAATGTTGAATTATTTCCATAAGATGTTATACTACCCAACAAACAAGTGGTTTGCAAAACTCGAGTATTAATTTCATTGCCATCCAATTCCATTATCTGCTCCATGGTATCTTTGTAACTCAAGAAATGTATTCTGTAGTTATGTTATCGAAAGTGCTTCAACTTTGAAACAAGTTCCGTTTTTCAATATATTTTGAACAGAAAATTTTTATCCTGAGTTAGAAAGTTTTTGAATTTACTTCAAGATGCAAGAATTTTAATCACAATGATTTCAAACTTTATTGGTGATTTGCTGTGCAACCAATGTACCCACTTTGCAAGTAGTATTTATGATTTCGCAGTTACGAAATGACAGTTACAGTAGCCCAAACTTTGAAAACACTGCTTATAGTGTTGAGTTAAAACTTATCAGAATCCGAGCAAGTGTCAGAAACACATTGCTGCTCTTTCTTTTGAAATTTGAACAGCCAGCGAGTCGGAAGCGAAAATGTTAGGAGATAAGCTAAGTACTATAAAATATAAAATGATATAACAAGAACTCCTGTCTTAAATGATTTGATACAATGTTCAAAGTGATGCCAAATTTAGTGCCATAACTATTTGTCAAATTGTTAAATTACTTCGTTTGTAATAAAGAATACTAAATAAAACAAAGCTGCGTAGCGCGCAGCAATTATGCACGTAATTTCATTTCACCATAATTTTCACGAAATCAATGAACTGTGGCTTTATATAGAGATAATATTACTAGTTTCCTTGCACTGTAAAACGTTATCAGTTTAGATATAGACCACAGACGTAAACATTAAAGTACCTTGCGGGAAATCATTTGCAGTTAAACTGTTCACCGTACCACCTCCTTGTGGAAAGCTTGGATGCAGCATAATTCGTGGAAGCTGTCGTGCTGCTGTACGCTTTCTGCTTAAAGCATCATTACTTCGTGCATCTGCTATGTCACCATTAGGTTTGGATTGTTTATGAGATGCAGAAGTCGATGATGAAGTACATTCATCGACAGAATACATTATTATCAATAAGAATTCGCTGAAAATTCATCTTTATTTTGCAAGAAAAACTATAGGAAATTTTCATCAGCAACAGCAAAAAACTCTTTTAGTCTAATATCGCTCATCCCGTGAATAACAATATAAACAATCATACTGCCATATTCAACATCATCCTATATTAATTTATGATTTGTGACATTGAAGATCTTATTATCTCCATAATATCTCCATAAGTTAATATCTCCTTAAGTTAAAAGTGATACGAGTAAACTTCCCCAGGCGTTCAACAATAGTTTGATTTTCGATCGAAACTGATACAATTATGCTCTACCACAATTACAAACTTATCATGTTTGCAGTGTTCTAAATTGAAACTTGGAATAAAAATTGAAATAATAAAACTAATGATTCTAGCAATTATCTTGATTAGAATCATTTAGTATATTGTTTCCTAATATCATTTATTTCTTGAAATTAATTAATGAGAAAAAAAAAAGCAAAGCATTACCAGGGAAGAGAGTCGTACCCGTATAGTTTTTTGGAAAGCTAACGTATGAGAATCACAGCGTAATACGTCTGGATGTTCCAATTCTTCTAGCAAATCATTTCACATTTGATGAAGTAAAAATACTACCGTAAATAAATGCACACGAATATAAATCTCAATAATACCTGCAATCATTAAATTAATTGAAAGTCAAGAATCAAAAATCGAAACAATAATTTTGTTGATCGCTTATTTTAACACAACTGAAAAGTGTAAATAATATATGTAAGAAATAACAGAATTGAGTTTTCACACTCACATATCCATTGCTAGCATTAATGCTATAAAATGTATTATCATTCATTTCTATTATGCTATCATGCGACAAACAACAACTCTTAGGCATGCACAATGCATGCTCGTGCAAAATGCAAACACAGCACTTTAATAAACTTGCAAAATTCACACATTTGTGACATTAATAATGATTAGATGACAGCGAAAAAAAAAAAAAACAATTATTTCTGCATTTTCGAAATTATGTAAAGAATGATGAAGTGAACTTTATCACAAGAGAGAGAGAGAGAGGAAGAGAGAGAGAGGAAGAGAGAGAGGAAGAGTGAGAGAGAAGAAAGGAGTTATTGATGTTAATACATAAAAAAATATAAAGAAGAGAGAGGGGAAGATAGTAGTGATAAATTTGGGAATAAATGAGGTAAACAACTAACTGAAGTACGGGGAACGGAAAAATGTATAGCACGGGGGGGGACGGGGGAAGAGTGGATTTGATATGTTGATGTTCCCAGCTAGCGAGAGAAGCGGTAGAGTCTAGCAAGACTAAGCTACTTGTGACGTCATTAAAAGGGGTTATGTTTATTTGTGTGTGTGTGTGTGTGTGTGAGAGTGTCTGTGTGTGTGTGTGTGAGAGTGTCTGTGTGTGTGTGTGTGAGAGTGTCTGTGTGTGTGTGTGTGTATGTGTGTGTGTGTGTGTGGTGTACATGTATAGCCTTGAAGTGATTATTTAAGAGCTGTTCGGTATAAAAGTCCAAAGGTCAACAACATGAAATGTACCAATGCAAAACCTCAAAACAGTACTGCTACGCCTTTTTCGTCTTATTTCATCATTAATATTTCGTCATAGCTCCTATCAACTTCACCCACTGTCTGTGTATGCATGTCTCCTTATAAGGTATGTAATATGATCCGTGGCAAATACGAGGAAACGTGAAGACGGGAAGACGGGGAAACGATGAAACGGGGAAAGCGGGAGATTGGAGAAGATTTAGGAGAGGCATATAAAATTGTAAATAGTGATATCTTAACAATTTAAAACAAATTATCAAATCTTGGATGATTCAAAAAAGAATTGTTTTTTCTTTCGAAAATTTCTCACAGTTAAATTTCTGATAGCTAAAAGATGAAGAGAATAGATGAACGGGCAAAATGTAATTGATGAAATTGTGGGGGTGGAAATAACGATGTGAGAAGAGTCTCGCAAATCTCTATGTGAAATATGAGAAGGATGATATGAGAGAGAGAGAGAGAGAGAGAGAAATTGAATCCTGAAGTGTATACAATTTACAAGTTAATTGTGTTAGTGGTCATTTCAATGGTCATTTCAAATGACGATGGAAATGTTGGAGAGAGTGAAATTTTGGGAATAGGATTATCATCCATCACTTATTTCCCTTTTATATCTTATTGCCTTAAATGTATGAATGAATCATATCTGGAGCACATTTCTTGAAATGTTTTCTGACTTATATTTAATTTGTTCGTTTATTAGTTGCAATCATAGAGGAGGATTGCTTCCAATTAAATTGTAATTGTGAAATTTCTTCTGAAAGATTGCAAAAGATTATAAATTCATTTAAGAAAATAATGATCCTAAAATTTAAAATTTCTGTATTTAAGTTAAAAAAATTTTTTTTCGCAATGCACGTCATAGAATGGAATGGATTTCATAGAATGGATTTCATTCGAGAAAAATAAAAATGATCCTAAAAATTAAAATTTCTGTATTTAAGTTAAAAATTTTTTCTTTCGTAATGCACGTCATTATATACTGGCAATTCAAAATGATAAAATAGAATTCACTCGAAATGATCCTAAAAATTAAAATTCCTGTATTTAAGTTAAAAATTTTTTCTTTCGTAATGCACGTCATCATATAATGGCAATTCAAAAGATTATAGAAATGGATTTCATTTGAGAAAATAAAAATGATCCTAAAAATTGAAATTCCTGTATTTAAGTAAAAAATTTTTTCTTTCGCCTAATGCACATCATCATATAGTGGCAGTTGGAATAACGACGTTTGTATCCACCATGTTGAAGTTTACAATTTCATATGCAGAAGAAATTAGTACCGACGATGAAAAAAGAAAAATATGAATGCAATAATTAAATGAATAAATTTAAATATTACACCTTTCTATATTACATAGATGGAAATGAGAAAAGGGTGATCATTTTTAATGTTTCATTTCAAATTTAAAATTTGCATTAAAATAGAGTAATTAACAAAAGTTTATAAATGAGGCACAAATATACTATAAAACATTATTGTTGTGAAATTGCTCATTGCTGAATGGATGATAGCAAAAATGGCTGGTCAAATTCATGGAATCATATCGGACCAACTGAGGTATATATAATTAATTGATTGATGGCTGATATTATCCATCGATTTTTTCTTTTTTTGATTAAAAAATTTTGCAAAGAAAATTTAATCAAAAATGATGACAAAATGAGATTATAATTATCATAATAATTATTATAATTATTTATATAATTGCATTAGTAAAATCATCCTGATACGATATGATTGTATTGAATGAAGCAAAATATGGGAATAATGATAACGATGATAATAATAGTAATATTTAACGATGCAATTATACGAATAATAATGATAATAATAATAATGGTAATCGTAATCTATGATAATAAATTTTTAGTATTGTAATATTCAATTATTTAATAATTACAAATTAGAAATGATTGGAATGCATGAAGGTGAAATTTCAATAATATTAGGATAAAAAATTTTTCCAAATTTTATACATATTGAATATATTTTTAGGAAACAATAATTTTAAATAAGCCGTTTGGTTTGAGAGTTCAAAAGAATACCTGGAAGGTATGTGTATGCGTGCATCAATTCATATTTCATTTTATTATTCTAATTCAAATTTCATTTTCTTTTTAAAATAGCTAAAAAGAAATTTATGAATCAATCCCATTGTATAAAAATATAAAATAAACATTGCAAATGTGTATAAGAAAATTAATTATTTAAAATTATGAAATGATAGTTTAGAGAAATTTTATTTAAATTACTTATTTAAAATAACTATAACTTTTTTTTTTTACTTTTAGATAGTATACATTGATCAATACGGTGCAGCAGCTAATTTAGCATTCGTTGGTGATACTATTTTATCAATTGATAATATCGAAATTCATGATTCAATAACATTAGAAGCAATTATGCAAAAGTCAACAACTGTATTTTTTTGTTTACCCTAAAATTATCAAAATTTTATTAAAATATCTAAATTTTATTAAAATTCCTAAATTTAATTTAAGGCCTAAATTTTATTAAAGTACCTAAATTCTATTAAAGTACCTAAATTTTGTTAAAGTGCCTAAATTTAATTTAAGGCCTAAATTTTATTAAACACCTAAATTTTAACAGAGTACCTAAATTTTTTTACCAGCAACTATTTTTATCGAAAATTTTCACCTATAAAAATATTTAATATTAACAAAACTTACTGATAATATTTAATACTAATAAAATTCATTGATAATTTGGGAAAATCTAACAAATTAAGAGAAAGTATTATCAAGCTAACAATAACTGATCGTTTTTGATAAAATGCGAAAAGAAAGGAAAGCTAAATTTAGGAAGATTATCTCTTTATTGTAATCAACGCTAAATGAACTTTTATCACAATAGGTTAAATCACTGTTAAAATTTCAAGTGAACTTCATATATATTCATATGTTTCATATTCCTATGTTTCAACTTCATATGTTATTTTTTAATTGATTGAAAATTTTTTTAATTATTTAGCGAGCATTTGTAAAACTTCGACGAAATGCATACTCTCATTGCCGTCGTATTCAATCCACTGTTGAAACGTTGAAAATGAAAAGTGAAACTAAATTACTACGAGCTGTAAATGTTTACAGAGTAATAACTATCCATTAATTATCAATATAATTTTAAATTTTAATTGATAACAAATTTAACAGCTAATCATAAATTTATTACTTTATAAATTATAACTTTACATAAATTCTGCATTAAAATTACTGCTGAAAATTTTGACAGTGAGTTGTTATTATTGGAAATAGCTTAAAGAGGATAAGATATAATTAATGTCACACTAATCGATTCATTTCATTTGTTGAATGCATTNTATAATTAATGTCACACTAATCGATTCATTTCATTTGTTGAATGCATTAATTAACTAATTTTTTTATATTATTTATTCTACGATATTGTTGACAGGTATGCATTCATGCAGAAGATATGTTACCGCAAGATGAGAATGACTTATTAGGCTTATCAATATCATATGATGCTCGAGAACGACTTCAAGTAGCTTCAACTGGTTGGTCAAGCTTAGCTGCTATTCACTTACGTCCAGGAGATACTATCAAGTAAACTTTTCAATTGTCTTGAATAGGATATTCATGAAATTCGAAATTAAATTCAGTTTGCTGTTTAAGTTTGAGGTGACAAACAATTTTAGTATCAGCGAAATATCAAAATTTTAACAATTAAAAAATTTCTCTAATAGAACATTTTAAAAATTATTAAGCATTCTTAATTAGAATTAAAATTAGCTTGACTTCATTTTGAATTGATTATAAATAGAAAACGAGCTAATCAAATTCTCTCAGAGAAGTAAATCATCATCCAGTCGCATCAAAAACTATGTTGCAATATTGGATGTCGTCAAGTATGGAGAAAAACGGTTTTGTTAGTATTCCAAAATTTCCCTGATAAGTGGAAAGTAATTTAGAATCTTAAAATTATCTTACAACACAACTACCCCAGCTAATACCAGTCTAACTATGTCAGCTAATATGTGACCTAATATGCAATCATCTTTTTGCTAATTGTATTTTGCGAAAAGATGATTCACTTATCATCTACCTGAAATGAAATTATTAAAAGCATTAAACAAAAACGCATCATAATTTTGAGCTTTGAATTTCTTTCATTGATATTTTCATATATCATTGCTATCAATCAATGACAAAATTGATAACAATTGTTATAGGTTGAATTACTCATTCATAGTAATGTCGATCAAAATATTATTTATGATGAGCTTGAAATGCCTGAAGATGTAGTAATTATATCAGCGAAACAGGTTATATATCATTTTCATCATTGTTATTATTATTATTATAAAAAAAGCTTCCCACAAATTAGTTTGTCTTTTCAATTAATCGTTGGATTGAGTGATAAGAAAAAGTCATATTTTTGCATAATCTTTCTGTTGAGATATCAGAACTACATCTGGAACTACTGATAAGAGATTTTCATAAGAAAGAAATAGCCAAATATTAGAAGTTGATTTTAATCGGAAATTTTTATTTATTGAAATATTACATTTCAATGTTAAACAATGCGAAACATAATAACCATGATATTTAACTCTAAAATTAATAATCATAACTGTATCAAAACTGTAGAAGTAATTATCGAAACTGCGAAATTAATTATCAAAACTGTGAAATTAATTATCAAAACTGTGAAATTGTGAAGTTAAAACTGTGAAATTAATTATCAAAACTGTAAAATTAATTATCGAAACCGTAAAATTAATTATCACAACTGTAAAAATTAATTATCAAATTGTTGATTTTTTGAAAGTTAAAAAAGATAAAATTTTAGGCTATGAAAAATAATGAAAAAGTTGAAAAATATTATTTCATTATTTCAGATATTATTTCAGATAGCAATGATACGAACAATGGCTTCTGAAAAATTTCACGAAATGAAAAGAATTTTGAGGAAGAATCAATCATTTTCGGAAAGTAAAAGGTCAGTATCGATAAATAATCAAATCATCGAATTTCCTATTGCAAGTGATTATGATCCAAAACAATTACGTAAAAGTCAAAAAGGTCAAGAAGAGGATAAAACTTAACAACGTAAAAGTAAAAAAGATCAAGAAGAGGGCGAAACTTAACAATGTAAAAGTGAAAAAGGTCAAGAAGAGGGTAAAACTTAACAACGTAAAAGTAAAAAAAAGATCAAGAAGAGGACAAAGCTTAACAATGTAAAAGTTAAAAAGGTCACGAAGAGGACAAAAACTTAACAATGTTAAAATGAAAAAGGTCACGAAGAGGACAAAAACTTAATAATGTTCCTATTTGATCAATTATTTAATGATTGTTGAAATGTAACATATAATAAAATAATATTGTTAAGTATTTTAATTTTATCAAATTCGTAATTTTTAACAGGTATCATATATTATTAATCTATTTACCTATTTCATCATGCAGAATTGTACTTTTACTTCGAAATTAATCCATACCTATTGATTAATTTAAAATGTAATTAATAACTAACTTATTTCGTTCAATCATTTCAATAGTGAAATTAATAAGCTTACCTTTTCATTTTGTATAAATTAGCTTACCTTTCTTTTTCAACTTCCTTCTAAATCATTTCTTCCACATTTTTATTTTCATTCATTATTTCGTCTTTATACTTAAAGTCTTATTTTCATTCACATATTAACGTTTTGTTTACGTTTTTGTTGAACGTAAATGAATTTCAAACTTACACTAAACTAATCATTAATAATTATCAATTCAATAATTATCAGCTTATCTATGCTTGTAATATTCAATAAGAGATTTATCTTCTCTTTCGTTAAACGTTAAACGTAGAATTCTTAAATATAGAATCATTCAAGTAATAATAATCTTCACTGACCTTCGTTTTGTCATTCTCTTAAAATTCTCTTCAAAACATTTGTCCAGTTGAATGTCCATTTGGTTACTTTAAAATTTCCGGAATATTTCACAATGCATTTTTTCTAAATTTCCGGAATATTTCACTGCGCATTTTTTCTAAATTTCCGGGATATTTCACAATATATTTTTTTATTTCCGGAATATTTCACAATGCATTTTTTTCTAAATTTCCGGAATATTTCACCGTGCATTTTTTCTAAATTTCCGGAATACTTCACAATATATTTTCTGGATAAATGTTTCAGTTTTTTCCTTCAGTGAAATTTCATTTTGCAATTTTGTATATTTCGTAAAGTATATAAATCAATTAATATTTGATAATTCATTTCCAATAATTCATTACGGGATATTTTGTAAATAATAATTTAAAAAATATGAAAAAGTTTGCAGCATTATGTTATTTCATCATATTAAACAGAAATCGAAGAATAAATTGATGGCCAAATATTGACCAAATGACCAAATACATGTCCATTATTTAAATAAATAATCACAACATTAAATTTACATAGTTTACTTTTACTCCTAACAATTTTACAACATATCATCAATAACTTACCATACTTAACAGCTATATATCATTCATTTATCATCTTCTATTATCAATATATCATTCATTTATCATCTTCTATTATCAACTTATTCTTCTCGTCGTTGAACGCTTTGAAATTGTTGTTGAAATTGAAATGCTTTCAAATATGCAAATTTTGCCTTTTCAAATTTATTCCAACGATGATAAAGTGTTCCTGAAATTATTTGATGCAGCTGTAAAATTAAAAATAACAATTAAAAAAACAGAAAGAAAGTTTATCATTTGAAGACATCAAAGTTCGATCGTTATTGATAATAAACACAACACATAGATAAAGACACAGACACACACATATACGCAGACACACACACACACACACACACACACTAAAATAACGTATGATTGATTATATCAAATGATGATATATTGATAATGATTTTTTTTTTCAACAAATGTTTTCATTACTAGCAAAAGGGTGACATCCAACCAGCCGGATTCGAACCAGCGACCTAAGGATCACTGCGCTATACACTCTACAGTCCTCCGCTCTACCAACTGAGCTATGGTTGGTGTGTATCATTGCGGGTATTTATTGGTTAACAAAAATTATTCCTACCAATATTTCTCCAATAAATTATTGTTGTTGGTTGAAGCTTCAACGCTGATAGAAGAAACTTTTCAGCGCTAATATATTCGCCAAGTTTACCATAACAGGTACCAAGTTGAGAAAGAATTGATGCATCATTGCCGTGATAACGAAGTATCTGATCAGATAAGCTTATTACTTCCGCACAATTATTTGTCTCATCGAGTAATATCAGTAAATTTAACCAAGCTTGTTTATGATTAGGATTTATTCTGCAAAAAAGAAAAATATTAATAAGCCGATATTTTAATTAATCCAATAATATATTAATTAAGAATGTAAAAATGAATTGTTATCGTGTGATCGTAAATTTTGATTGAAATTTTAATGTGCTGGCATAAAACAAAAGGAAATGAATGTATTAAATTATGCAAAAATTATTAAAATATATTTTCAATTTTTAAATTTAAGTAAAAAAATTGAAATTAAAGAAATAACTATTTTGCATAATTTAATATTCTCATTAAAATTTAATTTCCAATTTTTGATCTTTAGTGAAAAGAAATAATCAGTTAACATTTTCTTCTCAATGATACTATTCTTGTATCACACCTGGTAATATTTTGCCAAATTTCCTTTGCATAAGTTTTCTGATCCTGTTGCAAATAAAGTAAACCCATATTATATAAGCAATCCGGATACGGAAAACGTAAACTAAGTGCTTGTTCGAAACTATTTTCTGCATCCTGAAAATGTTGTTTTACAAAAAAATATATATATACCTAAAAAATTTCATAAAATTTTATCTTTCTAATATAAATTTTAAAATGGTTCTAAGATAGTATTATCCAATTATATTCTATTATCATAAGTTACTGATTTTATTTATCAAAAGCTACTTATCGTTGTTACTTATTCTATTTTTACATTTTTTTTTTCTTCTTAAATTAATTTCTTATCAATAATTTGGAATTAGTGCGAAGTAAAAATTAATTTGAAATTAATCAAACTGTTATCATTAATAGGATAGATGAATTATTATCAGTTAAATACAGATTTAATTTAAATGCCAAAAAAGAAAATGAGAATTCAAACTTTATATCGTTGTTGTGCTAATTGTGCAAGTCCAAGATTCATCCATGCAGCAGCGAAATTTGGTTTTATTTCGATCGCTTTAAGAAGAAGTTGTTCAGCTTCAATATTTCGATTATACTTAAGATAGATATTTGCTAAATTATTCATTGCATTTTCATAGGTAGGATTTAGCCTAAAATTAAGATATACATAAGTAGGATTTAGCCTAAAATTAAAATATACATAGGTAGGATATAGCCTAAAATTAAGATGAAATATAATAAATTCCATATAATTAATAAAAATTTAAAATTTGATTAATTAAGGAAAATAAAATTTGAACAAAAAAAAGCAATTAAAAAAATACTTCATTAGCAATTAATTAAATGTCCTAATCCTTTAATTCACCATTTAACTGCATCATACAATTATAAAATGTAATGTCGAATTTGCTCAAACAATAGCAATAATTTTGTTATTGTTTGAATAATTTAATTTAGGATAAAAACTTTTGCTAATAACTAATTGGATAATCAAGTCTTTTAATGTACCATTTAAATGTATTGTATAATTGTAAAACGAATTTGCTTAAGCAATAGCAATAATTTATGTAATATCGAATTTACTCAAACAATAACAATAATTTTGTTATTGTTTGAGTAATTTAATTTAAGATAAAAATTTATTCACAATAAAATACTAATATTTTTAAATTATAGCAATAATATAAATTTGTAATATTTAAAAAAACGAGTTTTTGTATAAAAGTTATGCAAAAGAAATTTTAATTAATTTATTGTTTAAGAATTACAAAAGGAAAATAGGAATATTTTAAATGTGTAACAAATTTATCAGCAGCTTTTTTTTAATTACAACTTATCATTTGCTTAATTTCAACTTTATACTTTATCAGTTATCACAATTATTTCTTGAACAATATGTGATAGTGATTTCAGAAAATCCTTATCATTATTTATAATCTTCATTACTTTATAGATAATGATTATTACTTACAACAATCCTTATCATTACTTGTAATCTTCACTATAAAGCACAATATATATATATGTATACCTTATAGCATTAGCATAATTAACAGTTGCACGATTGATATCACCATTATCAGCCATAATTTTTGCTATATTATAATGAATTTTTGCATTATTTGGACAAACTTGAAGGCCACTTTTATATAAATCTAATTCATTTCTCCATTCCAAACTGCGCTAAAAATTTTATATAATTATATTAATTATATATTAAAATTAATTTCAATTAAATTCATTACTTAAATAGGATGAAATGAGAAATTGAATTATAAAATTCGTATATTTTTCAACATCCTTAATAATTATATTAAAACCAGTTCTAATTATATTTCTAGTAATACTAAGTTATTATATAACTATTACATTCTTTATTGTTATTATAACTATTACTATTATTAGTAGTTATCATCTTACAATTATAACTTATAATAATACTAAATTATTACATAGCTATTACATTCTTTATTGTTATTATAACTATTACTATTATTAGTAGTTATCATCTTCCAATTATAACTTACAATAATACTAAGTTATTATAATAATTGTAATTTTTATTGTTATCATAATTATTATCATTATTAATAATTATCATCTTACCTTGTATGATTTAGCAAGGAGCATTATGAAAATTATTGTTGTAGCACTTTTTAAAACATTTCCTAATTTATTTTTCATCGTAATTTCTTCAATCTTTTCATATACACAAATTATAATTATAATACAAAATGCAACTGATGGCAAATAAAGCACTCTTTCAGCGATCACAAATCCAACAGTAATAAAAATATTGCTGGCAGGTAGAAATGTTATAATATAAAAAATTATAGAAAATGATAAAAACCTGTAAAAAAATAAATTCAAAAATTCAATGTATTACATTCTATCAAAATTTATAGTTATTTAAATTATTGTTTAAATTATAAATTTATAATTATATAAAAAATACTACATATTTTGTTTAATAGTATTTTTTAAATAATTATAAATTATGATTATAAATTATAATTATAAATTTAAATTATAAATAATTATAAATATAGTTATTATTATTTGTTATTATAATTATTATAAACTTAATTTAACAATAATAACAAATATAATAATAACAAATAATAATAAATAATAATAATAACTATATAACAAATAATAATAGTAATAACAAATAATGATAATACCAATATATTACAATATTTTAAATTATTATTTAAAATATTGTAATATATTGTTTAATAGTATTTTAAATTGTTGATATCAATTTCAATCCATCAAAACTGTTTATATTATCTTCGAAAAAAAGGTTGAAAAAAATTTTTTCCTTTTGTTCTTTTCATATTTTAAGTTTTAGTAAGTAAGAGAAAAACTTAAATACTTGAATAATTAAAATTTAGAAAGAAAAGAAATCAAATTTTATATAATCTAAAAATTCATACTTATGATGTAATTTTTTTGATGATAATGATTAAAGTTTTTTTTTTAATGATAAGAAATTAAATTTTATATATTTCATCGAATCTAAAATTTATATGTAATTTTTCAAATGATAATTTGAAATTAAAGTATTGTTTTAAATGAATTAAATAAAAAGTAATTTTGACCTATATTGTTTCGCAAAATATCCTCGAATTAACTGAATGATAAATGTAATAGCACCAATGATGAATATTATCGATATCAGAAAACGCGGATCGCTGATCGATTTGATAAGTGTCACACAACCCATCGAATAATCAAAACATAAATGAATTGGATAAAATTGTAGCCAAATGTAAAGCATATAAATGTAGCAGTAATTAATTAACTGAAATAAAATTACGTTACTTTTTTATCGTCACTGCATATCTGTTAATTAAATAAATAAACAAGTAAATCAATGAATAAATAAACAAATAAATTAATAAATAAATAAATGAATTAATTAATTAAATAATTAAATGAATTTTACGAAAAAATGAATTTCTTCTTTCCTTTTAACTGAGCTCTCATTTTCGAAAATAACAAATAAATCAATAAATAAGTAAATAAATGAATAAATAAATTTATTTATTTATTAATTAAATAATTAAATAAAAAAAGTGAATTTCTTATTTCTTTTTACAATAAATCCAACGTTTTTCAACTAAGCTCTCATTTTCGAAAATTTTTTTACGATTTAAATTTGTTGAAAAGAAATTACTTCGCCACAATTTTTAATTCATCTACTATTTCGTATAATTATTTCGTATATTTCGTATAATTATTTCGTATAATGCATATTAATTCATCTACACAATTTAATTCTTTCTTCATTTATTCCTACAACGAATTATCCAACAGTAGCAGCAGAAAAATTATGCATTATACGAAATAAATTTCAAAATAAAAACAATTGAAATAATCAAATAATCGATAACTAACGAACTCGTAAGAAAGCTGATGGACAACTAGCGATTAAATTATCATTTGGACTAAATTGTGGAGATTGAAATCCGTTAATCGAAAATCGAAATATCAATAATGCTATGCTTATCATTAAACATATCATTACCCGATATATGCAATCACAATATCGTTGCTATAATAGAAATTTTTAGGATAAAAAATGGAAAAAAAATCAAAAATTGATAAATTTGATAATTTCACAAAAAAATTTTGCTAAATTAAATTTTTTAAAATCTAATTGAACGTATAAATGATAATATGATTAATTAATTTTTAATAGGAAGATTGAATAATTTGTGAATTTCAATTTAAATTTTATCACTTCATTAAACTGATTAATTGCTTTTCAACAATTAATTGCTTTGTTTCCAAAGGAAAGTAAACAAAAAAGATAAAAGGAAAAGTTAAAGTAAACAAAAAAGACAAAAGAAAAACTGCTTTGGAAAGTAAACAAAAAAGATAAAAGAAAAATTTTAATTCGTGTTTACTTTTTAAACTCTCTTAAAAAGCTTGTTTACAAAAATTTGTTCCCTTATTTTATTTATATTTACTCGAATTTAAAATTTAAAAAAGGATAAATAAATTTTGATAAGAACAAAATTTAATTGATGATATGACGAATATTTGTTGATTGATATATTTGTGTGAAATTTTGGTTCACAAGAATTTTAATACAGCCTAATGAAACAGTATTAAAAACAAATAACGCATAAGTTGGAAGTAAATATCTTAATGGAAATAGACATTCAATTTATTTATAAATTAAATATATTACTGAACTATTTATTATATAATAATATTACAGCAAAATTGGAATTTTGATTCTAATACTATTTTAAACTAAAAAAGTAAAATAATTTCTTTGCAAATTTTTGCTAATTTTAGCAAATGTCACTTGATTGAAAAGATCAAAAGTTAATATCATTAATGATATTAATTAATTATTGTTATCAAATTAATGCAAAATTATACAAGAGTATATGGTGTATTCTTATCAATACTCTTATCATTGTTACCATAATTAACCAATCGTTTTTTAAATGCAATAAAAAATTGAATTGGTGAAATATTTGATGCGATGATATCAAATGTTGCACAAAGTGGCTGCAAGAAGAAATAATTTTAGGCTGCAAGAAGAAGAAATTTTAGGCTGCAACAAAAAAAATTAAAATTTCAATAATACCAAATAAATTATCAATCAAACTAATTGTTAACAATAATTCTAAAATAAATAATTATTTAAAATAATTAATTCTAAAACAATTAATTAATTAAAAATAATTGAAATATTAAAATTATCAAAATATGCAAACAAACCATAGCAACGATTCCTTGCTCCTTACTGAAAAGCGCAATTATGCTTAATAATAAAATTGTAATTTTTGATTTCATTGAAAATTTTGATTCATACCAACATTTAATATACAAATGTAATGTAATGAGTGTAAATAATGTCATTAATAGCTCAGCACGGCCTACTATACTTGCAACCTGTAATAAATATCTTTTATGTTAAATTTAAAAAAGTAATAATTTGATTAAATTTTAATTTACCAAAGTTATAATTTACTTTCTGCCACGATTTGGC